TTAATCGTTTGGGATTGGTGTTATATTCCCCCCCCCCCCCCCCCCCCCCCCCCCCCCCCCCCCCCCCCCCCCCCCCCCCCCCCCCCCCCCCCCCNCCCCCCCCCCCCCCCAAACATAGACTTCTATAAGATTATTTTTATTGAACTTGAACTTTTATAAAACATAAAATATTAATATGCACGATACTTCATAGGGAAATTGAGACTTTATTTTTATTTTACAAAGAAAAAAATTTAGGGCCTTATTTTTTCGGGACCTAAGGCCACCGCTTTGATGGACTTAGGCCCCAGCCGACCATGTATAGTCAGAGATTTTAGTTTGATTAATTTGTAGTGATTGATAGTAAACATAATGAAATAACATAAAATAATAAAATGAGAAAATTTTACACGTCCAATTTTTTTTAGGCAAAAAATAGACATGTATTGAAAAATTATTTTTTGATAATATAGTTAGAGACGGGTGTTGAGTCAAATTAAGCATGCACTAATTCCACACGCAACAATCACTGGCAGATTGACGTTACTACCAAATCTGAGTTTTTTAGGACACCTTTAATTTCCTTTAATGGGTGATTGATTTTCCAATACTTTTTCATTTGTCCAATCTCTTATTGATCGTATGAAATCCGGTTTGGTGCTAAACCATGGGTTAGGTAGGCCCAACGGGACAAGTCTCTATCATGGTCCAACATGCCATCAGCTATTTCTGCAGCCAAAAAGGACTAATTGATCTAAGAATATTAACCACTTAAATTTTTATTTTGAATTTTTTTTAGTCTAAAGTGCGAGGAAATGTTCTTCTACTCAAATGATATTTCGTGGGTTTTAGTTGTAATTCATTATTAGATACTGTTATTTTTAGATACACCCTTAGTCCATTTCTTTTTTGCTTCTTAACCAAACAAACATGATGTTCTATTGTTTTTTTTAATTAGACAAAAACATGATGTTCTAGACGTCTCTCTTTGATCATCCATCCACTTTTGTGTTTTACCAAACCAACCATTAGTTTCTTTTATTATCCTAGAAGAGCAATTGACAAGCTCAAGCTCTTTGTTGTTTAGCTTCGGTTAGCTAAATGACTTTTTTAGTCCAATGATGTGGGCTAATTTTTATAAATATGTGGTTCAAGCTTTTGCTTGGTTGCCAAGAAATTAATTCTAAAATGTGCCCTAACTTTTCAAAGTAAAATCGGACACCCATACATACAAGAATGTACACAAAGGAAAGAAGACAATATGACTGTCTCTAGGCCACTTTTATTTTTTGTGACGATTGTTGAAAATTATAAATTTCGTAATTTTATCAGTAAGTTTATGCGTGTACCTTTTAAGAAGTGGAGTCTAATTTAATTGAATTTTTTGTCATGTAATCCAAACTATTTTTTTTATATATAATTATATCACCTCTTGTATCTTGCACGTTACCTAATCGAAGCCGAACAAGAGCTATTATTTTTCTCATGGGTAAATTTAACTTTTCTTCTATAGAATCCACCACACCCACCACGGATAGTGAACCAAAAACAATGACTAAAAAATCCAACTCTTCTTTCATCCACAATTATATAACAAAATACATATTCATAGAAAAAGAGAAAGTGATTGTTTTTTAGTTCATTGTCTTTAGTTTACAAAATCATTCGTCAATCTAAATAAAGATCTTTTAGAAATTTTATAAAACACAATCAAATCATATCTAAATTTTAAATATCAAACAATAGATTCAAAAAGAGGGAGAAAGTGTTTTTAGTTAACTCTCATTGAGTTTGCCGTCTTGTAGTTCATCGTCGGTGGTAGTGGTAGTGGTAGTGGTGGATGGTGATAGTAGTGGTAATAAATATAATGTGGAAAAACATTAAGCGATATAGTTTAAGTTTTTAAAAAACCTCATCTATTAAGGGTATTTTTGTCAACCTCCTATATATGTATATTGTGAATTATTTTTAATACTCATACATTATGGCTGTAATAATAATAAGAGACGTAAACTGTAGCTAAATTTGAACGAGATAATAAAATATTAACATAATTAATTGTTATTTAACACAACGTATGACTTCTAATAAAATAAAATAAATTAACTAAATCTAAACTAATTGATCACCCATAATATTTTCAATTAGGATGTCAGAGGCAAAGATTGGCTCTTATATGTCCCTCTGGTTCGGATTTTATTTAATTTTATTTTTAAAAAATACTATTTACACTTAATTTGAGGACTTAATTTAGACATATTTTCAACTATGACAATTTTTTTTTTTTTTGGATTGAAGCGATATAAATTTTATTAAGAAGCTAAATCTGAGAGAAGAGATAGTATCAAAAAATTTGGTGTCATTTCTTTCTAAAACATCAATATTTTCACCTAATTTGACCTTTCGAGCAAGTTGGTGAGCCACATGATTTCCTGATCGTCTAACAGTGGATAAAGAATAAAAAATTAACATGCGAAGAAACTGCTGCACATCTGCAATAATAGTGCCAATAGGAGAAGAATCTTCAGAATTATCGTCAATCCTCTTCGTGATTACATAAGAATCCCCTTCTGACACAATCTCATCACACCTAATTTGCTTAGCAAAAAGCACAG